TGTTGCAAATTTGTAGTCGATATGATGCATGCTCTGATTGGCTAATTTAAGGGCATCATTCAATTGTAACACCCATGGGCAAAAAGCCATATTAATAATAAACAACTTATTAACCTTGAACATGCGGCCTTTGCGGGAAAATCTCAAATCTGGGCCTTGCAGTATTGACCTCGCTATGGCTTGGTCGATATGGCAAGATCTTGGTTTGAGATTTTCCCGTAAAGATCTCACCCTCGGGTAATGCTGTATTTAGTTGATATTTTGATAACTAACAGCTAGACTGTGTCTTTTTGTTGATTAAGGTATGTCACCCAGAGATGTTCAAGTTATTGAACTGCATGACTGTTTCTCTACTAACGAGCTCCTGACATATGAAGGGCTTGGTCTTTGTGCTGAAGGCAAGTTTTACATTATATCTTCTTCACCTGACTGATGAAGGAAACTGTCACTTTCTTTTAATCAAATTGTGAGTGAATCACAAGCTGTATACAAAAAGTCATGTTTAGCCAAAACATCATTGTTAGCGGTACATTTTATGGTGTTAAGCCAAGAAAAATATGACGTCCAGGAATTATTTTATAATCAACTTTAGGATTAGAAGATATTCAAAGCAATCATCTTTATCGCTGTTAAAAATTAGGGTAGCAAACTCTGACCAGTGAAATGTTTATTACTTCAGGAAAAGGAGGAGAATTAGTCGACAGAGGAGACAATACATATGGAGGCAAGTGGGTTGTAAACCCCAGTGGAGGGCTCATTTCCAAGGGACACCCTCTAGGGGCAACAGGTAACCTTTGACGTTTGAAACTTGCACCATTTTTAAGTTCCTCTTCAGTCCCATTGTTCTACTGTATTTATCATGAACAACTGAAAAATTGTCAGTTTTCAATTTCTTAAAACAGAGTTTTTCGTGTGAAGAAAGGAAAATTCTTGTTATCAATGTTTGTTTTTTAATGTTGTAATGCATGTAGTACTGGTTTTCAATAATCAGTGTCAATCGAAATCAATTTTAGTTTACATTCTAAGTTTGATTTAGGAAAGTGTCACATTACAAGGCAACAAATACAATGCAGTGGTTTATAAGATTGGGCACTGCAATTACATTGGTTTTTAACTTCATTCAACTCTCAATTGAAGGTTGGAACGAAAATATAAATTGTAGCTGAATTCAGCAACAAGGAGCTATATTCCACCCCTGAAAATACCTTTGATTACAAAAACACTTGAGTT